TAAAGATCGGTGACCCTTTTTCATCCATGTATTTTTCGTTTTTGTTTAATATTATGAAAATCACTATCATCTTCTTATACAATGGGATTTAATCAATATTACAGTTAAAACCCATGCTTGCTTTGTTTGCTTACTCATATCTTCTATCTTAGATCTAGAGTAAATTACTTTTGGCCAGGATTTACCCAAAACCTTCTTATCTAATTAGTTCAACCAAAAGTTTAAATTTTTTTGGTCGAACTGTGACAAATAGGATAGGTCATTATGATCGGCTAAATTAACTCTAATGTTACTGATTATTCAATTTTTTTTATATATAATAGTAATACTTTTGACAGTGGTACGAGGCGCCTTTCATTCGAGTATTAAGGAATTTTGTTTTCAGATTAATTAGGCCTTATGGTTTCAAGGGTGTTTAAAGGGAATTTGATTAGTTTTACGGCTAACTATTTTATTGGAGGATATTTTTAGGTCTCTGAATGGCTGATTCTTTTTGCACATATACGTTTCGGAGTTTGCAGGGGTATATTTGTAATGTGTATATATACATTGAACAAGTTCAATTTGTACAAAGCGAAATACATAAACGGCCCCTTTAAGTTGTCCTCAACAATCAGACAAACACTTTAACTGAGCCTTTTTCCATTTTAACACTTCAAGTGGCTATTAATGTTACGCCCCGAACCTGGGCCAAGACATAACACGGCATTCAGTGCCTGACTACATGTGACCTAGCGAACCAACTGGTTGGCTGAATTAATATGTGATATCATAACATACTAAATGCGAAAAATAAACTAACACATGCTGATATACTGAAAGCCTGAATAATAAAAATGAAAGTGTGGAAACACTATTACAAGTGTAAAACATATCTGCAGCCAATACTTCTTAACATGAAAAGCTTGTGACTTTGTCTAACTGTTACTCTAGTGTATGAAGCCTCTAATGAAGTACTGAAAACATTGACTGTCTGAAATACTGAAGATTGTAAGATAATTATAATTCCCCAAAAGAACTGGGGATCACAAAATAGCTGGTACAAGAGTCCTAACGCTCTGAATTGTCAACCTGTAAATCATTACCTACATCGTGAGATGCAGGCCCGGGGCAAAAGGGACATCACTACATTTGAATTACACTGGTATGTAAAGCAACTGAAAGAAAGAACTATAAATGCTGAAACTAATATTGAACTGATAATTGAGAATTGATAATTAATAACTGAAATGATAACTGTTGAAACTGAGCTGAAATGATAATTGATAGGTGATAATTGATAATTGAACTGAACAAAGGAAGTAAGGATATGAATACTCCCTCTTCTGAATGATGAACAATCTGTTTATCTGAATATTAAACTGCGGCCTCAGGCCNCATACTGCAATACATGATAGTGAAATACTGAATCACATTGAGTTACATGATACTGGAATACTGGGTCACACTGATTTACATAATATTGGAATATTGAATAGGACCAGACTGAGACATGTATTCTTGAACTGATTATGAACACTGAAACTTCAACTATTTATAGCATACTGAGTAATCTATACTAAGACTCGGGGGGAGGAAGGACATCAAACCCAAGTCTATATTGAATACGCACTGAGCTCACAACGTTCATAATGAAAGTCATGAACGAGTTATGAAGCTAGAGAATAGAAGTTCTACAACTATTCAAGGAACTAGGCTAAACTATAATTCTAAGACAATTAGTAACGTCGTAAAAGAAACATAGTGTAGGGAAAATCATTAACATTCCCAAACATAGAGAGTTAGCCTCAAATACCTTAACATCCTGCTCTCGAGCGTAATTCAATGTTTGTCAACTCTTTCAACTTTAATCTATAGCAATACAAATCAAAGAGATTTTATAGTAGCTATGATACTCATGTTTGGGTCTCTTAGGCATTTTATCAAGCACTTTGTGAGAATAAAGCTTTATAGTCCTTATTAATGGTGTTTCTACACCTAATAACCCATTATCCTGCTCCTAGATAACTTCTATAGTCTCAAATGGTTAAAATCAATATCATTCTTCATCACCCATAAGGTAAACACCACTCTTAACCAATAATCAACAATCAACAACCCAAACTTATAACCGTTCATGCTTTTCTATCCAACCCATCAACTCATATTTCATGAACTAGAGTCTACAATTATTAATCCAATGCTAGAATCAATTAGAGGGTGAAGACATTACCTTTTTGAAGTTCAATCCCCTTGAATTCGAGTTCTAGGGTTCCTTCTCTCAACAATGATGTCCCAATCGAATAATTAATGATATGGAGGGTTTACCCATATTATAAGATGTTGGAAAATTGAAATTAACTTAGAATCACCATTAGAACTTACCTTAGATGGTGGAGGGACCTTTAAGGAGTCAGGTTCTTGAGAGCTCCCCTTCCTAGAGCAAGTTTTTGTGTTTTGGGGGTGTGGGAGACGAAGTAGGGCTTTAAAATGACCCCTAAGTGCTCCCTCCGCGCACCTGAAGGCCTGACCGCCCAAAATGGCAGTAGCACTGCCACAAGTGCGCTGCCGCGCACGTGACCCTCTAGACGCGCACCTGGGCGCGCATATTGTGCACTTCTATGTAAAACACACATAATATTTTGCACACAGATCCGTTCGAGCTCTGCAATATATTGTTGGAAAGATATTTCAAAGTCCTACAACATTCATGTTTTGAGTTTTCCCAAATTCCTTACACATTTTCATTAAATCATGCTGGAAAACGGACTTTTTGTAAACTTAGTCGATTTTGTCGAATCTTATGCACCTCACTCTCCATCTTGATTCTAAAATAATTATTTCCACCCATACTCATCCTAGAAATTCACATGTCTAAAATATAACATTACTACTCATTTAACACATCTATACCTAACCCAAATTTACGGGTGTTACAATTAAATAAGTCAAGTAAACACATTAGTACAACAGACCATATACGTGAGTTGCACTTGCCAATAACACGCCAAATGGACCAATAAAAAAAATGACACGTGTAACTTCGCCATAAGAATTTGACACATGTT